TTTTTTTTTTTTTTTTTTGTTAAGAATACCTCCACTATATTTAAAGGGAATATTTTGTTTAGTTTGGGAGGGAAGAAGGAAAAAAAAGGGAATATTTTGTTGAAGCATATGGTACTTTGATGAGGGCAGGGAGTGAGAGAGAGTGCAGAGAAGGGTTTGTTTGCGTATTGAGAGATGAGATGGCACTCTTTCTTTCTTAAACAAACCTCACTCTCCAAATATGTGAACTCAAACTCTACTCTTTCTTAAACAAACCTCACTCTCCAAATATGTGAACTCAAACTCTACTCTTTCTTAAACAAACCTCACTCTCCAAATATGTGAACTCAAACTCTACTCTTTCTTAAACAAACCTACTCTTTCATCAAACAATTCTAATATTTTTAAATAAATAAATAAATTTTAAAATTCTTTCTGGAATAAGTAAATAAAGTATGTAATGAGTAACTAAATAAGTGTTCCTTTTAATAATTACACATGCAATATATTCTAAATCATTTTTGTTCCTTTTCTTTTCAACACTAATAATTTACGGATTATTTATTTCCCTCTCTTTTGCTTCCACAAAACTTCAAACATGCTCTCTCACGGTTTGGTTGCAACACTTTTTTTTATATGCATGGAATCACAAGACCATTACTAGAATTATATTAGAACATAGGACAATTACTGTGCATCAAAATGGTAGTAATTATCTATTGGTATAGATGAGTATAGCCTTGGAGTTAATTACTCATTTGTATGCATGGAAATTGTATCACCGATCCGTGATATGGCTTTATGGAATTCATTTATCTATATGCATGGAATTTGTACGACTTTATTGTAATTTTTATTTGTGACAACTACTTATATATGTGATAGAAGTTGAACCGTATTAAGTCCAATGTATGTATGTTTAAGGTAAGGGCAAAAATATGCAAGGGTCGCGAACGGGAGGGACCACATATTGCCACTCAAAATTGTCATCATGTACTTTTTTTGTACTTCTGCATCATTTAAATTCATATTATGGAATTTTCTCTACACTTTTGTTTACCTTGAAAATTCGATGCATTATCTTAGGAATTCTTTTTTTTTACAAAAACATTTGAATGCATTTCTTACTTTGAGATGTATATGTGTACCATGTACACGTTTTTGTTATTTCACTTTAAATAACATCAACATGATTATTCTAACATACTTAAGTCGGGTCTGGTTTTAGAAACTTTGGTTATTACAATAATAAGTTGTAAGTGAGTTAAGTTGAGATAAATAAGTTTCAAATTTAGTGCTTGTTCAATGTAAATATGGTCAATTTAAGGTTGTCGACCTAGCCAAGCCAATCTGTAACAGATATGGTCTTCTTTGGATTTTTTCTTTCAGGCTTCCCCTCAAAGTTTTAAAACACGTCTGTTAGAGAGAGGTTTCCACAATTTTATAAGGAATGCTTTGTCCCCTCTTCAACTAACGTGAGATCGCACAATCCACTTCTTTGAGAACCAGCATCCTGCTGGCACACTGCTTAGTGTCTGACTATGATACCATTTGTAATCGTAAAAACTCACCATACTTTGAACATACACACAATCCATGTGAGTAAAATTAGATAAAAATAATAGAATATATAAGAGAAATAGTGGATAAAATGAAGAAAAAGAAAAGTTGATAAGTTGAATAATAAGGAGGGAAAATAAAAGTAATGAAAGAGGAAGAGGTTTTGGGAGAAAAAGGTTGGGGGGATAGAAAATTTGTTTTTAGGTGATGAGGAGGAGAGAGGAGGCGTGCAAAAAGAAGATGCTGGCGAAAAGCAGCAAATGATGGGGCACGTATATTTATAAAATTGCGCGACAATTACACGACAAACACAACATTACAAACAGAGATCTAAGTGATAGAAACCCTTTGGCGTGAAGGAGCCTGTGGGGTACATCCACCCTTCTCTCTCTCTCTCTCCAAACTTTTCTCTTCCCAAAAGTTTTTAAATTTTTTTATATTATATTTAATAAGTTTCTTCATATATTCCACTCTTTTTAAATCTTATAAAAGAAAAAAAAAACACTTATAGATTTAGTTAAGAAATGTAAAATAAAAAATTAAAAGATGTATAAAATACTTTTAAAAAGTAAAAATATATCATTTTTAAAGTGGGAAGCCTTTTAAACGCACCTCCTTACAGAAAAAAAAAGAGGGGGAAAAAAAAAGCGAATTTTTGTAAAGAGGGAAAAAATAAAAGAAATAGAAAAAGAGGAGACAAATGCATGGGAGATGGGAAGGAAATGTCGGGAGATGGTGTTTTAAGTTTTTTTTTTTTTTTGTGGGAATAAAACCTCTGTGGTATCTCTGAACTCTTTTGGCTCAGCGTGCGGCGTGCCCCTCTCCCTCTCTCTCCCTCTCTTGTAATCATTGCTTCCACAATCTCTTTCTCTCTCTCTTCTGCGTTAATGTTTTCGCACGTGCGGATCGAGGCACACCCCCTATTACAACCCCTCTTCACTCACTTCCCATATACGCTCATCAACGGTTTGAAATAAGAATTCAATCTATCATTTTCCTTCCATTTTCACACCTATTTTTTAAACTGCTTATCATTTTCAATCTAGCAAGCGATTTTGTCCTAGTATCGAAACACCAATAAATGAAGCTTTTGTCATGAGATCAGGAGTGTTGCAATGCAAACCTCGATTCTACAAATATGTGGACGTCTTAATCCTCGTATTTTTTGTTTGTAGCATTTTGACTTTACCTTTTTTTTTTTAATTTTGATTTTCTTTATGTTTGGGATATCATTGAGGCTCTACCTTGAATGTTTCGACCAGGCCTCGATTTACATAAAATTTCCCCTTTGTCTAATGATTTGGAGGACGAATTAAGAGACGAACTCTAATTCTGATTTCTATATAATTAGGAAAATTAAAGACATCTATGAGAAATTTTTAATAATTATGGAGATTACAACCACCAAAATTGACATAACATGCTAGTTTTACTCTTTCTTTCTTTTTTTTTTTAATATTGTAGTTTTTGTTTGAAAATGTTTTAAGTTAGAAATGGATGTATCCATTAAATCCTTATTATTTAAGTAATTTAATTCCTTCATTCAATGGTTTATTTTCATTCATGTTTTTATATGCTTAATACTTAATCTGTTGATCATGTTTTAGTGGTCTAAATTTAGACTAAGATTGATTTCAACTAAAACTTAATTATATAACTAAGGGTGGTTCTAACTTACTAATAGAATGTCTTAATACCTTACTTGTTATTAAGTACTAAATACAATGGTTTGGTAAGAGTTAATTGTCCTCATAAGAGTTGGTTATTAATCCTGTATTCTTAACTTATAGAATATTTTCATGATAAATCTTAGTTGTTTGATAATCGAATCATTGGCCTTGTTGGGATTTGTGCCCTAAAGCTCGTAGTTTTTTGTAACTAAACATTTACTCATTCATGAATTAAGTAATTTGTTATTGTGTGAAACATTATCTAATAATCATATAAGATCAAAGGTTATTATGGTAAACTTGAACAGTATGTAGTTGACATATAAGAGGATCATGTTCAAGTAATAACCAAAAAGGTCTATAGTGGATATTCCCTTATGTTATAGTTCGTTAAAGGAAGTGATTATGAACAGTCAGTCAAGACTCAAGAAATGAAAGAAAGATCTGCTCCTACACTTGAACCTATTCCTTCTTTCCCTCGGTAAAGCTATTTGTTGAAGACCCTTTCTTTACAGTCGAGTAAATTCTAAGTGTTTATTAGATCAAACTTCAGAGCTGCGTAACCTGACGAGAGAGATGAATGAGACTGAACTACTTCCCCTGGATAAGGTTGGGTGCCTTATCCTGGTAACACTATTGATACAGTCCGCTTTGTAATTGTTACAAATGATTTTGATCCAAATCATTCATGTGGAGACATGTGAGTGGAGGTATCCTATACAATGAGTTTGTATAAGACTGGATCATGAAATATTTAATCTCTATTTATAAATCAATAAATTAAGAAGATTAATATTTCACAGATGTGCGACTCGATCTTAATCACGAGTGAGTTATGAATTCCTGTCTATGAAGACTTGTTTTTTGATTTGCATGGGTGAGAATGGCTTTTGTAGCCAATTCAATATGCCTACCATTTTGGGGACTTGACCAAATAGGGAGCTGGGAACATAACCTCACAAGATGGAATTCACTCCTTCCCATATAGGGTAAGTAGATAAGTAATTCTCTTAAGTGCAGATTTCGGGACTTGAACAATGGAGCCCCACCCTCTCACTGGCCCAAGAGGGACTCAGTTTATGATTGTTTATTAGAGAATCAGTGGTACTTAAGGTACAAGATGTAATTACAGGGGTAAAACGGACTTTTGACCCAGTTGTAGTTACGAATAACTCGTGAAGGATCGACTTGTCTTTAATGATAACCCATGGACATAACTTGTCCTACAGTGCATAAGAGTTCAACTATAGGACTATAGTGGAGTGACCTATAGTTAATGAGTGAAAATTAATTAATTAAATAGTTTAGTTAATTGATTTGATGTCATTGGAGCTTATAACCCGTAGGTCCATAAGGTCTCCATGCTAACTCATAATAACACCAAAAAGTAAATTCAGTTAAAAGAATAAATTTGAAATGTTCATATTAATATACTTGATATATTAAATATTAAAGGAGAAAAATAAATTTAATTTGAAAGTTCAAATTAGAAAAAGGAGAAAAATAATTTAATTCGAGAGTTCAAATAAAAAGAAGTATATTTATTATATTTGATTCATTAAATATTAAAAATATATTAGTGTATATTAGATACATATCTTCCAAAATGGAATGAGATTCCATATATGTTGAAATAGATGGTGATATTTAAATATGATTTAAATAAAATATTGTTTGCTAATAGATAAGATATTTGGAATATATATTTGGCAAAATATTCTTACAAAGTCCTTATAAATAGGATTGAGCCAAAGA